AATATAGATCATACAGACCAAGCCCACAGTTGAGCATATATTCAATGGGGACAATCTGAAGGCTTTTCCTATAAAAATACATGCTCTCACCACTTCTATTTAGTCTAGTTCTGTAAGTTCTAGCCATGGTAATGGGGCCAGAAAAAGAAATAGAAGGTATCTAAGTTAGAAAGGAAGAGTTAAATTGTTTCTTTAGTAGATGACATAGCCATATATAGAATGTGCTGAAGATTCCACCAAAAATATTCCATAACTAAACTGAGACACTGGTGTGGAACAGACTGTAAACTGTTGGTGGAAAAACAGAAGAAACACAGAGTTCTCAGTATAATCAAAAACATGACATCATGGCCAACTATATATATAGGAGGATAAGAGAAGATCAGAGGAGATCCACTGTGAAGCACGGATACTCAGAAACAGTAGGCAAACAAAGCCAGATATTAAGAATCAACCTGAAGGAGAAATCCACCAGACAGAGTCCAATAACATGGTGTTTAGAAAGGGAAGCAGAGATGGGTCTGGACCACAGTTCCCCTTACACTCTAATTCTGGTGAACACACCATCTAAGGTGTGTAATTGTACCATGAAAAGGAAAATAAGAATTAATCATTTCATTAATCTAAATAATCACAGGCAAATCAGGATTAATCTCACCAAATTTTTCATAAAAGTTTCAAATGCAGGCTTACTATCAGCATATTAATGGGTTTCAACCTTCTAGCAACTTCCTGCAACCTCCAATTACACTTTATACTCTCTGTATTCCTTCTTCTCACACAAGTATTCTCTCAAACTTCTCTACACCAGCCCTCCATTCCAGTTTTAAAAATAATATTGACAAAGTTTGATCTCTTCTTATTCTTTTATTTGCTATCTCTTTTTTCTTTGTCTTCTTTTTGATGTACTGTCTTCCTCTTCCTTTCCACTTCCCTCATCTTCCAGATCCCATTCTTTTCATCAGTAGTAATATATCACAGTTATTGAAAAAATGGTGAATGGTTGTTTCAGTGTGCACAATTGATACGTGGCTGGCTCTGTAGATGCTGATATAACTGGTAGGGATTCTCTCCTGGTAACATGACCCTGTTATGTTGAGTAGGTTGAAGATGTGTATGAACATGAAAACATAATCAAAGTCAGGGTCACAGTGTTGAGAAGCATACACTAACTGAAGAGATCTCCATATTAGTGACAGAGTTTTTCCACTCTCATTGTTCCTCAGCATACACAAAAACATAGAAATGTGAGAAAACAAGGCAACAAGGTGCCTTCAAAAATTCTTTACCCCCGAAAAGCTGATCCAATGGGCACTGATGGGGAGAAAGTAAAAAACCAAATGACTGAAATGTATGAGAAAATAAAAGGAGAAACAATAGTAATGAAAAGATCGGTGAGACATTCAGGAGGTCAGAGATTCTTTAACCAAACAGATAAGGAACATAACTGCTAAAATGATTAGTGAGTTTAAAAAAGATATAAACAAAAATTTGGGTGAAATAATGAAGATGATGGGAACATGAATAACTAAATTAGTGAAGGGTTAGATAATATGTAATGATGTCAAACAAATCCAAGATATAAAAAATTCTATTGAAAGTATTCTGGCAGCAGAAATAGCCAGTGAGAGGAGAAGATCAAGTTGATACAGAGACTAAATCCTAAGAGATATCTTTAAAAAAAGACCATGAAATTGAATCCAACAGGTCCCAGATGATTCAAAGGAAACTGATCTAAAAATTATAGTAGTTAAAGAAAATCAGAAGACAGCACAAAAGTTACAAAAAATTATTTACTGAAATCATAGCAGAAAATTTCCATGTATAGTGAACTAATTCAACTTCCATGTACATGAAGCACATAGAACTTCAAATAGCTATGATGAGAAAAGAACTTCTCTAGGACATATCATAGTTAAAATCTCAGAATTTCAACACAAGAACAGAATTTTAAAAGCTGTTAGAAAAAAGCAACAAAAATTTTATAAGGACAAATCCATCAGAATTATAGCAAATTTCTCAACATATACTTTAAAGTCTAGGAGAACTTGGAGTGAAGTTTTTTAAAGCTTAAATTAACAGCTTTCAACCCAAATTAATTTATTCTGCAAAACTTTCTTTCAAAATTGATGGAGGAATAAGAGCTTTCCAGGACAAAGAGCACCTTAAGAAATTCATGACCACCAAACTCACACTACAAAAAATACTCAAAGAAAGCTTAGACAGAGACAATGTGGCCAACAACACCAAAGAGTTTAAATAAATGAATACTTTGAACAGGGGGTGCAGTTAAACAAAAAATAAATGAATCAGCAAGAGAAAAATCACGCAATGACAGAATCTGTCAATACCTTTCAGTAATAGCTCTCAATGTAAATGATCTTAACTTCCCAGTCAAAAGACACAGATTGGCAGATGAGATTCCACAAGAAAACACGCTTTATTATGATACAGAAGACACACACCTAATCCTTAAGGAATAAGAGAGACTAAAAATTCAAAGGATCCATAATCAAATATAATATAATTCATAATCCAAAATATCCAAAGACCATACATCAAAACCTTTCAAGTGTGGACCAAAATAAACCAATTGTCATTTAAGTTGATATTCTCAGGTACTTTATAACAACAACAGAAAGCTGATTAACACAGTCATGTAATTAGCAAATGTTTTAGACAGGAAATTAGTCCCTCTTTTTTTTTTCCAGGAAAGCTCTTTTCACTACATAGCCTCTAGAACATTGAAGGGAGATTTATGCGGTTATCAGTTTCCAGCCTCTTGGCTTCAAACCTGTTCCTCTGCATCTTCACTCCGAGAAGAAATGAGACTTCGTTTTGCATTTCTTCATAAATGAGTGCATGACCTTAACTTTTCTTGGAGGGGGTGTGCATGGACATCAAGGCAGTCCTGTTTCTCCTGAGTTTTTGCCTGAAGTGCTGGAAGGAAGGTAAATGATTGGCACAAGGGTTGCTAGGTCTTCTTAGGCCTCTGTCGCTTCTTGGTCCAGAAATTACTGGAAGCTCAATGATATTAGAGCTTCAGTTGCACTAATTCGTATTTGCCCCTCTACACAGGAACAAGTAATTTTAAGACTTTTCATCCATGGGTATCCGTAGGTACCTACTATCCACACAGAAACACAGATACTCTCTTCAGCCTGTCCTGTCCATCCTCCTGAGAGCTCCTCTGTGACCCATCCTTCCCAACCCTCCACATGTCCACATTACCAGCTGATGATCAATTAGTCACCACTTATGCTCCAGGGAACTAACAAGGATATTGTAATTGTTATTGAATGAGGTATAAGTGTATATTAAAATACTGTTTTGGAATATGCAGGGGACCACAATACTGATTTTGCCCAAAGCTGGCTGCAAGCAGTGCAGGCTGTAAAAAGTTAATTCCTCAATTGTTTTGTTTTGAGAAGTGAGTCCAGCCAGAGCCTATGTGCAAAGGTCAGAGTAACTTGCACCCAAATTTCGTTTCCATAACTAAAACCTCAAGTAGGACAATGTTGTAATTACAACCATATATTTTGTCTATTCTGTTTCTGATTTGAGAATGCTTTGTCTTGTCCTTTACGAGTCTTGCCTCCATTAGTTTCCATAGAAACTGCAGGATTGTTTGTCCTCACACATTCCCGCCCTTGCACATGGCTCACCTTTACTTCAACTGATTACTAATAAAAATCAGTGGCTTGGATGGTCCAGCATCTTTGCCAATTAAGCAGCATTGGCTACCCTAACTCCACTATTTCTTTGTCTCTTAGTTTGGTCTTACAGTTTTTTTTTTCCTTAGGCCTGTGCTGTAGCACTGCGCAGAAGATCAGAACCTACTGCAGAGGTCTCTGATAGTAAAAGATAAGTGGGAATAAATTTTAAAAATTCAGTGGAATAAACCTAAATGACATGTATACCATATCACAGATTCATCTTTTTTGCGCTAAATCAGTTAAAATACATCTTTTGTACTGTTGATTATGCAATGCATTATTTTTCATTATAATTGCCATGATGTGCAGTAGACCACTAAATATTGTTCCTTCTAATTGAAAGGTTGATGCTGGGTCCAAATCAATTTTCCCATTACCATCAACCACACCAATCTGGAAGCATTAACTATTGAGGAATGAAATTTTGTAGATAGCATTCATACTGAGCACAATCATGACAGTAGCCAGGAAGGTCTCACAAATGACTTTTATTTAGGAATAATCTTTGGTGGACTTCAACAAGAAAGACATCATGAAACCTACATATTTTCTCCTTTCTAATTTGAAACATTTAGAATTATTTTGCCAAAATCATACAGGATACTTCCCCTCGCATTAATGGTTATGAAACCTATCACAAAAACTCAAGAGCCAACGAACCTGCCTGGAAAAAATACAGGATGGACAAGTTTTCCTTCAAAGAGGAGGAGAGGGCCAGGGATTTAGCTCAGTGGTTTCACTCCCTGCCTCATCAGTGCAAGGTCCCGAGTTCCAGTTCGATCCCCTGTACCAAAAAAAAAGAAAAAAGAAAGTAAAGTGAGGAAAGAAAAGAAACTAATTAACCAGATTCTACTGCTCCTGTTGTTAATGCTACTACAAATAATAGTATTGACTCTAAATGGTATTATTTAGTAAATATTTTCTAGGACGTTAAAGGAACAGAATAACAGAAATATTTTGGTGATGTGTTATGTCGTGGTCAAGTAATGACAAAATGAGAATGAAATTATTGTTGTGCAAACTTCAATCATTAGAAAATATGTATTTATTTTCTTGAAGGCTCTGCAAGCTAGAAAAGTTTAAGCAAATTAAGAATTCCTCACAAAATGATTATATTCAGAATGATGTCACCATAGGCACATGGCTGTAAAATGACAGAACAGAGCCTGTGTGAGAGATGCCTTAGCCATCCTTGTAGTATATAAAGGACCCAGAAGACAAGGTGAAATTCACACTTCAGAGATATCTCACTTCCCTTCAACTGAAACTTCACCTCCTGACACCATGTGTTGCAGCTACTACAGAAACTCCTGCGGGGACTGTGGCTACGGCTCTGGCTGTGGCTCTAGCTGTGGACACTGCTCTGGCTCTGGCTACAGCTGTGGATACTGCTCTGGCTGCTGTAGCTACTGACCCTTCTGGTACAGAAGGTGCTCCTCTTGCTGCTAATCACCGTGACAAGTCAGGCTTTGCCCTTGAAATGACCACTCCAAGGACAAGTTCAATTTGAAAGCCCTCCTATCCATTAACTTCAGATCAAAGGAAGGTTGATTATTGTCTTCTGAACACCTGATAGAAAAACGCTACTGCTGTATGCACTTGATAAAGATGGAATAGTTCTATGACATTACTGAAAACAGATCTAATTTTGTCAAATATTTAAATGTAAATTATATATATATATATATATAAAATCCCTTTGCTGTAGCTATCTTCAAAAACATGGCAGGGCTATATAATTGGCATATATTATAATGTAATGAAATAGAAGTGTCCTAATAAATAATTTATATGCTATAAAGTTTGGTCTCTTTTGTATTACTGCTAGCATTAAGTTTTGGATTTTGATGGCCTGGATAATCTTTTGATCACAGTTTGAAATACATATATTTTTATTGAGTCCAAATATGAACTCTTTTTAGGTATTTTCTAATTTGTTTTTGTTAGTTACCTTTATATTCCAACACAAAAGTCATTGCCACATTTACATTCGCATGTCTTGTGTAAATAAAAGAATGGGATAGGGATAATAATAAGACAATCTACCCAAAAAATTAATGGATTAGTGCAGAAATGATTGGCTTGATTGTAGATTAAAACCTTATAGTGAAGACAACTGTATTAATTTAAAGCTAACATAGTTTGAAATATGTGAGAAAGAAATGTATATGTAAGGTTATGAAAATGTCTCAAAGACAGCAGAAAGGACTGGAATTCTTTACTCTTCCTGTTCCATAGTCTTGCACGTGACTTTGAACCCATGCCCTGCCAATGGTCGCAGAGAATGACCAACATCAGTCTAATACTCCAGGCATGAAATGGAACCTGAAGAAATGATGACAACAATGAAATCTTACTAAGAACCTTTGTCTTTATAAGTAGAAAGAGTATTTCTTCCCTATTGCTTAGCACTCTTTGGCTATTATCTTGTGAGGGGGCAACTCTAAGCTGAAGGTGGCATAAAAGATAAAAGGTTGTGAACAAGGTTTGTTTGTTTCCAGCCAATAGTGTGTGCCAATATCCTGTAGATCTTAGGTAAGAGGACACAAGGATGAACTGCAGGAAGCAAAAACTCAAGTATGTGGACATATCTTACAGTACTTCTATTTAGTAAGGCACATAATTGAGTCTTCACTTATATTTTTCTCTCGTTTATTGGGTTTAGTTTAATATATTCTCATTTTTTCTTTTATTTCGTTCACACAGGGCTTTTTACATTTGTGTTTAACATGTTTATTGATGTCTTCTCTGGTTTTTCTTTTTTATTTCTATTTTCATTTCTGTTGTCACTCATAGCCATTTTATCATTTATATTATGAATATAATATATTTCATGTATTTTGCTTTTATAAGGAACTATTTCATTTCATTCCAGTACAGTCTCACGAGGGATGGTTATTTTATAAGTTCAGTATGCCTAGTAGAAAATCTGAAACCTATAATCCTTCATGTAAAACATTTTTGATTGCTTATAATTGGAAAATTTTACATTATGAAACTTTAATTTATGCAGAGAAGTCTTAAAAACAATGTTTAAAATTGCCATGCAGTTATATGTAGTAGGTCTATGTGAATCCTAAATGAATTTCATGTTTAAACATGGGTGTCTCTGAGATATCTCATTATGCACAGGTAAATATTGCAAAATCCATAAAATCGGCAACATATAACTCTGGCCTGTAGCATAGAATATGAGGGATATTCAAATGTAATTGTATATTTGAGGCTATGCAAATAATGCTGATCTTTAATTTTTTTCTCTCAGCATGATATGTACTAAAAGGACCATCTGTGCTATTACATGTGCACTTAGGTTATTGTTGCTAATGATCTTCTCGTGGGCATAAACAGAGAAGAGGGATTCATGATGAAGGCAGTCACCTCTTATTTTATCATTATCATGTCTCACTGCTGCATGTCCCTGTGGCACATACATAAAAATTTGTCCTTTTGTTACCTGAGTGATTCACGTATGTGTTTTGAAGCTCTACTTCAAAACAATGAAGTAAGATTTCATTGTAATGAAAAAAGTACTCTTGTGGCTTTAAGTGTTTTTCCCTATGTTATCATCCAGAAGTTTCAAAGTTTCTGTTTTTATATCTAGTACTTTGCTTCACTTTGATTTTATTTTAGTACAGGGTGAGAGGTGAGGAATCCTTTAGAATCAATGATGTGAAGACAACTTACAGAGTGGAAGAACATTTTTGATAGAATATGTCTCCAAAAGCACATGCAACAAAAGTAAAAGCAGACAAATTATACCAAACTAAAAAGTTATCAATAGCATAGGAAATAATCAGCATGCTGAATAGAAAAACTTATACAATAACAGATGATTTTTAAATCACACCCCCAATTTCAGGCTAGTATCCAAAATACACATGGAATTCAAAACATTCAATATTAAGAAAATGAATAACCCAGTTGAAAATAGACAATGGACCAGAATAAACATTTTTAAAAAAGGGACCTACAGATACATGAAAAAACACTCAACATATTTTATTATCAGGGTAAAACATATAAAAAGAACAATGAGTATCACTCTACACATTTTAGAATGGTTGTTATGAAAGAGAAAAATATATAATTTCTAGGAAGAAAATTTTTTAAAGGTATCCTTCTACACAATGTGTTAATTAGTATAGCCATGATAGAGAACAGTATGTGTGTTCCACAAAAAGGTAAAAATAGCACTAAAATATGATTCAGTGGTCCTATTTCCTGTGTTCACAATCAAATGGTGTATAATCATTAGGTTGAAGATTCGCTGGCAGCCCCTGCATGTTAATTTCATCATTGTTCACAATGTCCTTCAGTGGATGAATGAATAAAGAAAATGTGAGATATATACAGAATAAAATACTATTAAGCCTTACAAAGAAGGAAATCTTGTCATGTGTGATAATAGAGATGAATCTGGGAGAGTTTATGTTCAGTAAAACAAACTAGATACAGAAAACAGATATGGCAAGATCTTGCTTACATTTGGAATCTGTGACATGGAACCCACAGAGACAGGGTAGAGTAGTTGTTATTGGGGCAGTAGGAGAAATGGGAGGTTTTGGTCAAAGATTACAAACCTTCAGTTATAAGATGACTAAGTTCTGGAGAGCTAAGGATTAGTGTGGTGAATGTAATATCAATCCTGAATCACTGACTTGAAATTTACTCTTAGAGTAGATTTTAATGTGTTCTTCTCAGTAAAAAAATTATAAATGTGTGAGATAATGCATGCATTAAATTGCTTAATTTAGCCATTCTGCAAATCCCATATATAATATAACATCATATTGCATAAAATAAATACAGTATATAGCATTTTAAATGACCAATTAAAATATGTTTGTAGAAGTAGAGAGTAAAAAGCATTAACCTATATTTGTATCTCAGAGTGTCCTCTCAGAGTAAGAACTTCTGAATGTGGAAATCACCTTTAAAATGACAGATTACTCATTTCCACTGAAATGTTCAGTACAGTATTCATTTTACTCTAACATGACTGTCTGAAAATGCAAAAATGTATTCTCTTTCCATTTAATACAGAGGCCAGTTTTCAGCATAGATAGGTACGTTGCCTTATTAAGTACTGATAGTTTCAATGGATTTCCATAGTTACCGCGTTTCAAATTATGCTATGAAATCAAGTCCTTTGACATATTCCTTGATTCTGCAGTTTTACACTTTATGGTAAAAAATGCTTCAGCCAAATGCGGAGAACAATTATTACATTTCTGAGGGAGTTAGCTCATCTTTGAAACTTTGTTGTGAAAAGTGTCGATACTTATGCCGTATGTGTCAGCCTGTGTGTGCCCTCATATATTAGCCGCATACACACGCACATGTTGCACCTCAATCCATAGCAACAGTAAAGTGACTCTTACAATTTTAGTAAATAAATAGATCAGAATAAGTATGTAGAGAAATTTGACAAGTAGTTTTCTGGTAGGAAGCTTATACGTGAATGCGTGAGAGGGAAAAAAGAATTTTCTTTCCAAGAGCCACTAGAAGTTTTCAAGGCATGTAATTACAGTCATTTCCTCTTGAGCATTTACAGAAACCGAGGATCACCCTATTAAGGACATTTACCATAGGTATATAAAATGTAAAGTACATATTTCAGGCAGAATATTAGTCACTGTGTTTGCCAAAGAAGGCTATTTTATTACTGATTTTCTGAAACTTGGAAGGGAGACCACAAGTTGGCAACTTACTGCCTGTCAGTTTCAAACTCGTTCTTGTATGTTTGACCTGTAATGAGATTCCTTTGGATATTTCTCCTTACATGTGAGCATGACGCTAATCTTTCTCAGTAGAAGATACAGGTGGGTTTTCCTGAAGGTACATAGATCTTCCTGAGGGTTTTTATTTTTCAGTGCTAGACGGGGGGAGAGTGCTGACAGAGTGGGTTTTAGGACATCTAGGGAAGCGTACTTCAGCCTGGGGTCCGGAAAGTGGCGGATGCTTCATTCTGACAATAATAATTATTTGTTCTCCCAAAGACAGAAGCTGGCTTCCTGAATACTTCTCACATGTGGCTCTCTGTGGGGCTCCTTCCCACTCAGATGGCCAGATGCCTCCTATACCTGCTCACCTGCCTTTCAGTAGTCTTCTGGGGCACTTCTCAGCCTCTCTGAATGCCCTCATCACTGGCTGGGGATCACATAATTACCACCTGTCTCCTGATTATTGTTCCTGCTTTCCCTGTGACTGCAGAACAAAGTGTTTTTTAAATAGCTTCCATGAAATATAATTACTAGAGAGAAGACTGCCCACATTTTATGTACATAATTTCTTGAGTTTAAACATATGCTTATGCCTAGGAAGCCAACTCCACAATCGCGGTTATAGACACATCCATCACCTTTCAACATTTCCTCATATTTTATTTGTTTTTCTCCTAGGGGTAGAAATGCTACAATTTTCCCAAATTTTAAAGTGCACAATACACTCTTGTTTACTATAGCAAAATAATTTTCCAAAGCATTTATTAGGTGAGTATATTTGAAAGATTTTTTTCTGTGAAGATTCTTCCAAAGCCCTAGAACAGCATGCAGAGTTTTCTGATAAATTATTGTTATTTTTGACTATAGCTTAATATTTTTTACATTATATTTTCCCCAATTGACCTATTGTATGGTTTATGTCTCCTGTCTGGGCCCAAATCTTTGCAGATATCTTTAATTTTAGGAGTAATTTGTGTACTTTTATGTTGTGCTTGAGTCCATGGTAGAATTCAAGGTTTATTAGTGTGTAAATTGAGAAGTGCAGATGAGGGATAAGGTATCCATATAATGAAAGAAATGAAAAGGGAAAAATAAAGAAAGAAAATTTAAAGTAAAAGAGATGAGAAACCTATTTATATGAAAACAATAGGGTGAATTTATATGAAGATAAAGGAAAGGAGAAATAATATGTGTCATAGAAGAGTTAAACATTATTTATGCCATGATGGCTAGTTAGCCAAAAAAAAGTAGGATAAATGAAGATTCTTATAAAATTATTGATATTTTGGAGAACACACATTAGACTTAATTGAAGAAAATATTGTTTAAGGTGGAAGGAATCATTATTGAAGGATTACATTTTTGTGAGAAATGTGGATATATAGCACAAATAAAGTAGACTAAAGAAAACAAGAAACAGACTTACATTTATGTATTGAACTCTAACAAAGGAGTTGTTGATCCAAGACATCTACAGCACTCTAATTGGAACTTAGCAAGTTTGTCCTTTATAGTAAAATAATAAATATGCTTATAGAACTGATCCATAAGGAGTTTAATAAATTTATTTTCTTCCAAAGAAGAAAGAGAAAAGTCATAACCTATATGGAAAATGAAGGATTGGAATAGCTTTCCTTCAGATAGAAGTGTAATGTTTTCAGAAGTGGATAAAACATGTTTAAATACTCATGAAGAGTATTTAGAAAGATCATGGTGGAAACAAGAAATTACAAGGGAAGGAAAAAAGACATCAAGATAAAGAATAAGGACAAAGACAGGAGGAGGAAGAGGATGAGGAAGGGGGTGACTAGAAACAAATAGAATGACCTATATAACAGACAATTTCCAAAACCTCAAAGAACAGAATAACAAACGATCACATATTTTTAGGTCAAATATTTTCATGATGTGTTATGTCAAGTACATAAAATACAGCTATGAAAGATAAAATTATGGGGCATAAGCATAGATGTATGGCAAATGTACCTTTGTTTCCTTTCAAAGCTCATGAAAATTTCTAAGAAGACAATAAGTAAATTATGAAATGTTAACAAAATAAGTGTACACAGAATGACCTCATTTTAGGTGCATGGTTATGAAGCAAACAGAGTCCATGTGAGCTATGACCCATCAATCCCTGTTCAGTACATAAAGGGCCAGGAAGAAAAGATGACATTCACACTTGAGAAACATCCTCCTACCCCTCAACTGAAACCTCACCTCTAGACAACGTGTGTTGCAGCTATGGAAACTCCTTCAGGGGCTGTGGATATGGCTCTGGCTGTGGATATGGCTCTGGCTGTGGATACGGCTCTGGCTGTGGAAATAGCTTGGCATATGGTTCTGGCAGTGGATATGGCTCCCGCTATGGCTGTGGATACAAGTCTGGCTGCTGTAGCTACCGACCCTTCTGTTACAGAAGATGCTACTCCTCTTGCTGCTAATCACCATGACAAGTCGGGCTTTGCCCTTGAGGTGACCACTCCCTGATGAAGTCCATTTGAAACCTCTTCAATCATTAACTTTAGACCAAAATGAAGATCAATGATGTCTCCTGAGCACCTGATTTGTAATTAGAGAAACCTTGTCCATCACATCACTGATGTTATTTTGTTCATTTTTCAAATTCCTATATATTTCCTCTGACTCTGCCCATTGGTTATCTGCAGAAGCAGAGTAGGATTATATAACTGGAGTATACTGAAATGTAACAAAATAGCAGTTTCTTAATAAAAAAATTCTTAATAATAGTATTCTGTTCTTTATATCAGAGTTGTCATTGATTTTAGGGATGCAATCTCCATAAATCTGACCACAGAATACAAGAATACAAATAAGGTATTTTATTGCTTTAATCAATGAACAGTTTCTACTATTTTCTATCTATCTATCTATCTATCTATCTATCTATCTATCTTTCTATCTATCTATCTATCATCTTTCTGATTTATCATTGAAAATAAACACAACTATAACACCCCAAATGTCATATCTTCACAAGTAAAGGATTGAAATACAAATATCAAAGAGAAATAGACACTAGTTGGGAGATTCTGCCAGCAGTTTAGGAGTTTGGACTTGATCTTGGCCTTCTGTCTTAGCAAAGAATATGCAGAAAAATTAATTTAAAATGAATAATGTTTGACATATGTAAAATAAGAAATTGTTCAATCTTAGTCCATTTTCTGTGATTGTAACATAATGCCACAGACTGAGCCATTCATATATCATAGTTCCATACATAAATCATAGGTTTTTTTACTCATAATTCGGAGACTGGGGTGTCCAAAAGAAGGCGTCATGTTATAGAGGGTTAGGGGACAGTAAACACAGGAAATTGCTGAGGAGTCCATTTATCAAGAAGTCACTCCCATGATAACTGACTCTTTTGTTACATAACAGTTAAGCTGGATTGTCTTGAGAACTAAGGATCAGTGAAACACTCTCCTGGGTGTGTCTGGCTGAGCCCAGGAGGCAGGACCTTGGGCACTCTTTGTGGTCCTTGGCCCTTCCTCTCTGGTGCTGTTCCCTGCTGTGGTTCCCTGTCACCATGAAGTGAAGCACTTTGCACCACCACACTTTTGCACCATGATGTTTCTGCCCATGGACTGATACTTCTGAAACCATAATCCAAGTTAAACTTGCCATCCTAATTGTGGATGTTGAGTATTTTGTACCAGCAATGGGAAAGCTGACCAAAACAGAAACTACACCATTATAACAGCATTAATCTATTCACCAAGACAGAGATCTCATGACCTAACACCTTGTAAAGGTATTGTTATAATGGCAATTAAATTTCAGCAAGAGTTTTAGAGGAGGCATTCAAACCACAGCATGGGGTAAGCAGATAAAGCTATTTCAAGCTGCTCAAGGAAATCAGATACAAACATGACTTCTCTCTTGCTGTTTCCTACTGTTTCTTTTTTACTTTTCCACTCATAGTTTCCAACTAGTTTGCTAACAATGATCAACATCATATTTATGCTCCAGGCAGAAAGAAAGAGGAGAGACAAATGATAAAGAGCATATATCCTTTTGGTTTGGGAAGTGAAGCTTTTCATAGAAGAGTTTTGACTACTCCTCTGTGAATATTACATGGGGCCACTTAGTGGGAACTAAAGAAAAAAGGTCTGTGGACAAAAAGTGTGCTTGTCAACAAATTGTGTGTGCCACAGACTTTGGTATCAGGGGGAAAAACCAAAGCCTGAAGAAGCAAAACAGTAAGTGAAACTGTAAAGATGTACGACTTACAGTAATTTTAGCTAGGGAGGTGCACAAATGATGTCTTCAAAATACGGTTTTTTCTGGTTCAAAGGATTGAGTTTAATACATTTCCCTGTTTATATCAGCTGATCATTTGTATACATAAACTCTGTTATAGTTTTTGTATAACATATCAATTAATTATTCTTTTCCTTTTTGTATTTTCTTTTCTACGTAATATTCACCGCCATGTTGTAATTTATGTTATTTTGCACGCACCCATCTCATTTTAAAACTTTTTATTTTTTTGTTAGTACCCATCAAATTTCATCTGGCAAAAATCTCAAGGTAGTTGGTCATTCTATTATATATTTT